CCTGTACATTGAATGCAACAACCCTCTTGATCAATATTTCAAACTTGTAGTTGTAAAATATTGGATAATTCAAACCGAATTGCGATTGATGGTTGATGTTATGTCTCATTCATGTAGTTAGTGGTGAATTCTCTACCCTAGGATTTTTTCCCGAAAATTAATATCTCAAACCCTAGATTTTAATTGTCAATATAATTCTTCAATTTTATTTAATTGCTATTTAGGTATATAATCAATCTTATCTTTTTAATCAAAATTAATTTAGGAATTTTGCGATTGAATTAATTTAACTTCACAATAGTCCCTATGGATCGATACCTGGACTTGCCATTATTCTGATTGAATTTGGTATAGTTTAGTATTTAATTTTGGTGTGTTCAATGACCCATCAAAATTTTGGCGCCGTTGCCGGGGACTTCTGGCGAAATTAGTTAATTTAAAGTTGCATTCTTATTTTAATTTTTAGTTTAGGATTTTATACTTTTGGTGTTGCTAAGTGTGCAGAGCATTTGAAATTGGAGCTATCATTGAAGTGCAAGCGGAGCGCAACCGAGCTTAAAAAAAAAAAAAAAAAAAAAAAACCTGAAGCACTAAAGTGAGTAAACAGAAGCAAACACTCACAAGCAAAGCACCAAAGTGCTAAAACGAAAGTCAAAGCTCAATCGGGGGTTGAAGACAACATCTACACGCTAAGCACCCGCAAGACGAGTAAAGCGTTTTCGTTAAACCGCTGTGAGTATTTCTCCTTTGGTATTTTGCTTTCATTCTTAGTGCACAGAGTCGGAAGCTTGTGTGTGTGTTTGGGTAGTGTATGCACGGGCGTCGTTCTTGTCGCCCTGAATTGTGGAGTTTGGACCTTGAACTAGAAAGGACTCTTAGGAGACTTAGGGCCTCTGCCCGTATTCCTAGGCTTGAGTATTCGTATTCATACATTGAGCCATTAGAGATGGCAAATCCTGATGTCCCGAATGTGCCTAATCGGACCCTTAAGGACTATTTTACACCCACTGCATATACATCACCATCATGCATCCAATTACCCAACACCACTGCTGCTCATTATGAGATTAAGTCTTGCACCATACAAATGCTCCCATCATTCCATGGACTAACTCATGATGATCCTTATAAGCATTTGAATGAATTTCTGGAAATTTTCACGACAGTGAGGATCCAGAATTTCATAAATGAAGCCTTAATGTTGCGATTGTTTCCATTCTCGTTAAAGGATAAAGCCAAACACTGGCTAAATTCTTTACCTGCTAATTCAATCACAACTTGGGACCAATTACAACAACGGTTCTTGGAGAAGTACTTTCCCATAGGTAAAACCAACCAGTTTAGGCGAGCCATCACAAACTTTGCTCAAATGGATGGCGAGCAATTCCATAAGACGTGGGAAAGACTTAGAGACCTTCTCCAACAGTGTCCTCACCACCAAGTGTCTAATTGGCTACTTGTTCAAACATTTTATTATGGCTTAACTGAGCCGCACCGCCAAATGGTGGATGCATCCTGTGGTGGGACATTCATGTCTAAAAATGATGCCGAGGCATGGCAATTGTTTGAGAACTTAAGTGATAATTCCCTTCACCATGCCTCCGCAGCCCGGCAAGTCCGGCAACCAGTAGTTGGAGCCCCGAAAAGGGGGGGTATTTATGAGGTCGGGCAAAACCTAGAATTAGCCTAACAAGTAGAGGCATTGTCTCGCAAGATGGACCAATTATTAGCTACGGGACATGCCCCTACCCAGCAAGATCAGCCTCAATTTCATGAGGCATGTGTTATTTGGGCGAGCCCTGCTCATGACTTGAGTGAGTGCCCTTCGGCATCACAATTTCTTGAGTTAGTCCAAGAGCATGTAAATGCGGCTCAAGGATTCTCCAACCCGGGTAATGATCCATACTCTAACACATACAATTCGGGATGGAGAAATCACCCTAATTTCTCATGGAGACCCCCTTCACAAGGCACTTCTTACAATCCTCCACCACCAAGGCAGAATTTCAATAATTTTGCCAACCAATCATCCTACCGACCACCGCAACCTTATCGACCCCCACAACCGTACCGACAACCACAACCCCAGCCTGTTCCTCAAGGTAACTCTGCCTTTGAGACTCAGGTGTTGGAAGTTCTCTCAGAACTTAAGGGGTTAGCACCGATAGTTCACTCCCACACTCACTCTATTGCCAAGATAGAGACCCAATTAGGTCAAATGGCTATCAACATGAATCAAAGAGAGGAGGGAAAATTACCAAGTCAAACTGTGGCCAACCCTAAGGGACAATACGGGGCAGAGAGTTCGGGTGGAAATGGGAAGCAACATGAGCAAGTGCAGGCGATGGTTGCTTTAAGAAGTGGTAGGACGATAGAGCCTCAGTCAGTTGCGTCTGATGCAACTAGAGTTAGGAAGGGTGACCATGGTGGTTCACCTAGTGAGAGTAAGGGTGAGGGGGAAACACTTAAGAGGGATGACTTAGTCCCTAGCACTTCATTTGAGCCCAAGGCACCATATGTGCCTAAGGCACCCTTTCCCTAGTGCCTTGATACACCGTCCCCTTTTAATAAGAATGCGGCATTTATGGAGGCAATGATGGAGGTCTTTAAACAGGTAAAAATCAACCTCCCCCTGTTGGAGGCGATTAAGCAAGTACCATCATATGCCAAATTTCTGAAGGACCTTTGTACGCAAAAGCGTAAATCTAGGACACATGTGTCCCAAAAGGTCCTACTCACGGAGCAAGTAAACTCCATCTTGTTGAATGACACACCTCCTAAGCTTAAGGACCCAGGTGCCCCAACCATTGCATGCATTATATGGGACCATTTCATTGATAGAGCCTTATTAGATTTAGGGGCTAGTGTAAATTTGTTGCTGTACTCTGTGTACGAGGAATTTGGGCTTGGCGAGTTGAAGCCCACTACTGTCACTCTTCAATTGGCTGACCGGTCCCTCAAAGTGCCACGAGGCATGATTGAGGATGTGCTAGTTAAGGTTGATAGGTTCTACTTCCCTGTGGACTTTTTGGTTTTAGATATGGAACCGGTAGCCAGTTCGAGGAAACAAATCCCGGTGATTTTGGGTCGATCTTTCTTGGCTACGGCCAATGCATGCATTAATTGTCGGACCGGGGTTATGGAAGTTTTATTTGGTAACATGCAAGTGAAACTTAATGTTTTCCAAGCATCACAACAACCTCATGAGAGAGAGGAGTGCTTATTAGTGGATGTTGTGGATGAGATTGTTGAGGAGGCTTTGCCCTCCATTCTTGTAGAGGACCCTTTGGAGGCTTGTCTAGCTCATTTTGGGTTTGAAAATTTTGATATAGATGGGTCAATTGAGGAGGTGAATGTCTTGCTTAATTCTTCTTCTATACCGAATTTTCCTCCATGGAAAGCCCGGTTTGAGTCACTTCCTCCTCTGTCGAGAGAGCCTGCCGCACCATCTTTGGTCACACTACGTACACTTGAGTTGAAGCCACTTCCGGCCACACTCAAGTATGCATTTTTAGGGCCCCAGGAGACTTTACCAGTTATCATTACATCTGACTTGACTGCGGAGCAGGAGAGTCAGTTAATGAGTGTTCTCATGGCACATCGGAGTGCTATAGGGTGGTTAGTGGCTGATTTGAAAGGGATAGATCCCTCCGTGTGCATGCATTATATACACCTAGAGGAGGACACCAAACCTTCTCGCGAAATGCAACGGAGACTGAATCCTAACATGAAAGAGGTGGTGAAGAAGGAGGTTTTGAAATTGTTCTAACACTACAATTGAGTTAGTGATTTGCATCAATAGAAGAATTTGGTGGTCTACACCCAACATGCCTGTTTCCTTAAGAAGATCAGAATGTACTTTCTTTTATTAATAAAATGCCCTAGTTCGATCTTGCAAGTTCAATTCCAAGAAAGTATCTCAATAAACCTAGATCTTTGATTTCACATTCCTTGACTAGGTGTACTGTAAGCTGAGACTTCTTCTACATCATTTCGTGTTACCACTGTTATTCTAATACACGAGGGTAATTTTATCCTCATCTTGTTTAATGAATGTGGTATGATCTACATTGTCTTGCTTATACCCAAACCTCAGAACTCCACTCCTCCCACCTGCCTTGTAACCCAAGTACAAGTTTTACTTGCCTACCCCCAAACCTGCCCCTATGGTTGAAGTGCCTGAACCTATCTCATTAGGGTCAGGGTGGGGCAGGGACCATGGTATGGGATTTTTTGCCATTCCTTTGCAGGTTCTTGCTGTCCACATTGCTTGACTGATAGTTGTGGGAGGGGGATCACAAAATTGAAGTAGATGAAGAGGGGGAGGAGGCCGTACTAGCAGTCAAATTTCAACCTAAGTCAGGAAATGGTTATACCAAAAAACCAGATCACTAACCTGCTGGATGTTAAAATGAGTATCACACGACTGTATCCTGTTCCATTCATTTTAGACCTACGGATTGTAGTTAAGATAATAAAGCCTTAGAGCAGCTTTTTCCCTGGAGGCCTCTAATTTTTACAAATGAGGTGAAAATAAAGAGTTTTTGCCTTTCTGGGTGTGGCCCTTATAAATCACCAGAGGTTAGGAATTTAGAAGGTATATATGCCGATTGTATGCCTTTGGTGTAATATAATACCTCTAAAAAGATAATGATGTACATGTACATTTACCAACATTATTTGATTTGTTGAGGTTTGAACCATCTATTGCTTTAATATATTTGTTTTAAATTTTATTTGTTTGAATGGGCCTTTTGATGGGCTTCAGCATACAATTCTGCTTGTGGTCCTGTCAGATGCCGATATCATATAATCATGAATTCAGTTTCAAGCTTATCCACCCTTATGTGACACCTCTGTATCATATTAACATAGGCCAAGTTTGTTAGCTGACTGCTATCCACATATCCCTGGACCCCAAATCTCAAACATTTAGTTCTTGTTTTACTTCTGTGGTACTTGAGGACACGGACATCATCTTGTATTCATGCCTAGTCTAATTAGATTTCTATATATCCACTTTGGTTCCTATCTTAAATAATTTCAGCTCTTCTCAGGTTGCGGTCATCTCAAACTGTAGCATTTTGGCAGCAGTAGGCCAGAAAATGGCAAGTACTCCTGGAGTCAGTGCTACACTTTTCAATGCGCTTGCAAAGGTTGGTAAAGTTATTAAATTAGTATTATACTCTGCTAAATTTTCATGTGCAGTGCTATTGTCATCCCCTTTCAGCTTCATGCATTCTACATTGTGACTGCCTAGATTCCTGGAAATTCAAAGTTCATGAGAAGTGGAGTGCAGTGAGAAAAAGTTGGTGTGTCAATAGGGCACTCCAGAATTATTCTTCCTGAACATTCAATAAGTAGACATTTTGCCTCCGGAATTACACCTGATTACTGGCATGTGTACATTATGATAGATACTTAACTGCAAAATAAATTTTATCTGTCCTTTTCCCTGTGGTGGAGCCCAATTTCTAGGTTATATGCATGCTTCTCATAAATTTCATGAAAAAGTTAATGAATAGTTACTATACTGCAGGCTAATATTAATGTCCGTGCTATAGCCCAAGGTTGCTCAGAGTACAATATCACTGTGGTTGTCAAACAAGAAGACTGTGTGAAGGCCCTAAGAGCTGTCCACTCAAGATTTTATTTCTCTAAAACCACGATAGCAGTGGGTATTGTTGGATCTGGATTGATTGGTGGCACCTTGCTTGACCAGCTCAGGGATCAGGTACATTCCATTTTCTTTATCAGTCAATTAGTATCATATCTATGATGGATTGTAGTTTATTGATTAAGTTTGAGTCTAGACAGTACAAGTCGATTCATGATAATTGATAGATTAAGGTTCAATGGTTAAATACTAGAATTGCAACTGTCCGCTTTTCTTTTATGAAGAGCATGAAGTTCACATATTGAATCCTCTTGTGTTTATGAATTTGGACAACATGGTCTTAAAATGAAGCTCTTAAATTCCATCATCTTTGTTGCGTACTTGTATTTTATTTTTTTGGGTGAATTACCGTATCGTACCTTATTTTCAAAATACATTAAAGAGGTTTAAGAATACATAACTTTGATCTCAACCCAACTCAACAGAGCCTTGTTTCCTTTTTTGATATCCGGGAGCACCTTCAGGGTAGGGTCCTTTGGACCAACCCCATAGGATAAAACCTGGGATGTACCCCAACGCCCCCACAAGTGTACATTAGGTGAAGTTGAGGTGGCTCGAATTGGGACTTGCTGCTTTATTGGTATAAGTCTCACCGCTGAGCTACTCGCCGTTAGACAATTTAATGAAGCCTTTGTGACGACCCCATTCCACGCCAAACTATAGTCATTTCATACCAAAGCATAAAAGTGCATCCTATTCAAGGAATTATGTTTCTAAACTATGTTTCAAGGATTCATTAAGCATGCTTCAAAACATTTTAGGTAGAAAAGGAAACTAAACCAAACTAAGCCTTAAGTTCCATCAAATGAGATCAGCTACATGAATCTTTTTTCTCCACTTGACTCCTATCAACTTCCATTTAGTTAGTCAAATTTAGGAGATTCATATCTTTATTTACTAGACTATCTCACGTCAATCTAGGTCTGCCCCTAGCCCTGCCCCTAACACTTCCATCTGTCATCACTGTATCATATCTCTTCACTACCGCCTCTGTTTATATGACCAAACATCTCAATATATTCTTTCTCAACTTATCTTCTATCGGTACTACTCCTACCCATTCATGAATATACTCATTCCTAACTCTGTCTTTTCTAGTCTTGCCACATATCCACTGTAGCATCCTCATCTCAGTAATACTCATCTTATCTACATCATGTTTCTTAATTGCCCAACATTCTATCCCATGCAATATCGCTGGCCTAATAGTCGTTCTATAGAACTTTTCTTTTAGTTTAGTGGGTACGTGCTTATCACATAGTACCGCAGACGCACTTCTCTACTTAAGCCATCTCGCTCTAATTTTATGGACCACATCCGCTCCATTCTCCCAAGCCGTTGTGATAATCGATCCTAAATAACGAAAATGTTCACTGTTAGATAGTTCTTGGTTCTCAATCTTCACTTATCCTCTGCTTCCATTATTACTATTACTAAAATTATACTTTATGTACTCTGTCTTAGTTTTGCTTATCGTAAATCTTTTAAATTCTAGTGCTTGTCTCCAAGTCTTCAATTTAGTGTTAACTCTTTCTTTAGTCTCATCTACTAACGCGATATCATTTGTAAAATGCATATACCATGACACATCATTTTGAATATTTCTTATCAACTCATCTATAGCTAAAGCAAAAAGGTAATTGAGATTGATCCTTGGTGTAACCGCACAGTAATTGACAATTCACTAGTCTTTCCAGCAGACGATCTAATAGTGGTCACCACACTTTCATACATGTCCCTAATCACATTAATGTAACTTTTTGTCACCATTTTCTTCTCTAGCACCCACCATATTATATTTCGAGGCACTTTATCATATGCTTTCTCAAGATCGATAAAAATGAGATTGATCCTTGGTGTAACCGCACCGTAATTGACAATTCACTAATCTTTCCAGCAGACGATCTAATAGTGGTCACCACACTTTCATACATGTCCCTAATCACATTAATGTAACTTTTTGTCACCATTTTCTTCTCTAGCACCCACCATATTATATTCCGAGGCACTTTATCATATGCTTTCTCAAGATCGATAAAAACTATATTAATGTCTCTTTTCTTTTCTCTATAATTTTCTATTACTCTCCTCAAAAGATAGATCGTTTCTATTGTTGACCTACCAGACATAAATCCAAATTGATTCTCTGACACCTTTGTTATATCTCGCAATCGATGTTCCATCACTCTCTCCCACACTTTTATTATATGACACATGAGCTTGATTCCTCTATTGTTGTTGTAATTTTGGATATTTCCTTTATTCTTATAGATTGGCACTAAAATATTCTTCCTCCGCTCCTCTGGCATTTTTCTAGTCAACAAAATCTTACTAAATAACTTAGTGAAGCAAGCAACCCCCTTCTTATCCAAACATTTCCAAGCTTCAATAGGGATATCATTGGAATCTTCTTAAGTGTAATCTCCACTTGAAAGTTTCTAATCCTTCGATAGAACGCATAATCTTGGTTTCCTTATTAGTGGCTACTTCCTCCCCTTTCGACCTTCTTCCATGTTCCTTATTTACCAATTTTTCAAAATAGTTATTCCATCTCTAACTCTTCATCTTTCACCAACACCTTAGAGTCCTCACTCTTGATGCATTTAACTTGATTAAAATCTCTTGTTTTCCTCTCTTATCTTAACAAGTTTGTGTATTCTCTTCTCTCCCTCCTTATTATCTAATCTAGTGTATAGGTCATCATAGGCTTTCAACTTAGCGACCTCATTATTAGCCAATCTATAGCCCTTAAGGTTTTCCTTAGTTATTCTTTTGCCACTCTTTAAAGCACTAGTTTTTCGTCTTTACTACTGCTTGAACCTCCTCCTTCCACCACCAAGTTTCCTTAGAGTTGGGTCCCTTTCCTTTTGACTCTCCAAGGACTTCCCTTGAGATTCTTCTCATATAATTAGCCTTTGAGTTCCACACAGTGTTAGCATCATCTTCCAAGTCTCAAGTACTTTTTTTACCTATTTTATTCTTAAATATTTTTAGTTTACCCCCTTTTAGGTCCTCCCATCTCGTCCTACGACGCCCACTATCCTTTCTAACTTGGTATTGCCCTTTAAAGTATAGATTTAGTACCAAAATCCTGTGTTGAGACGCCAGGCTCTCTCCAAGAATCACCTTATAGTCGCTGTATTTTAAATGCTTCACTTTTCTTACTAGAAAGTAATCTATTTGGCTCCTAATTGACCCACTCTTAAATGTTATCAAATGATTCTCCTCTTCTTATACATAGTATTGACCACCACCAGGTTAGAGGCCAATGCAAAATTTAAAGTACTCTCTCCTACCTCATTTCTATTATCAAAATCATACCCACCATGCACCATCTCATAACCTAGTTTAATAAAAAATGCACATGTCATGCAATAACACGAAGCTATTAGAGAGCCTTGTTCCACAAACATGTTTGAAATATGTTTTCACCTTTTAGTTGGCTAATATTTGGAGAATATCAATAGAGGATCAAATGTCAAGAAATGCAATGTTGGCTCAATTTTACTTACAATCATACTCAGTAAGGTGAAGGAGGATGTCATAATTAGGACAACTTGTTTGATAGAGCTGTTCCACTTCTATATCGGTTGGTTCGTTCTTGGATTGTTTCGATAGCATCAGTGGCATGTTCTTCTATGGCATCCATCTCTTGGAGTTTTGACTTCTCTAGAAACTTCAATGATAGGGAGGTTGTTGACTTGGTATCTTTCTTGGTATTGCTTGATAGGGTTCTCTTTCTTCCTCTCGTGACACTAGGGTCTGGAATATTATTTCTTAGGGGTCTTTTCCTGTAAATCTTTATTTGATAAGCTTATTGATAATCCCTCTGTTCCTGTGTTTTCTCTTTAAAAAAAAAAATTGGAAACTGGTGGTTCCATGTGGTCTTTAGCTCAAAGGGGTGTCAAAACTAATGATGTTTTCCAAAGAAGAAGCCTAATCACTCTCTTTGCCCTCAATGGTGTGTGATGTGCAAGAGGAATTCAGGGGCGGCAGATCATTTATTCCTTCATTGCCCGATAGCTTTTGCATTATGGTAGCACCTTTTTGGCTTATGTGATAATCTGTGGGTTGCTCCGCAGGATTGCATTCAAATGCTTCTTGTTAGGTTCAAAGGGTTTGGAAACACCAGAAGTGCTAAAACATTGTGGTCAAGTATTGCTTTTGCTATTTTTTGGACTATATGGTTGGAGAGAAATGCAAGAATCTTTGATGGAAAGGAATGGAATGTAGAGGTTTTGTGGGATAGGGTGGGGTATTTGGCTTCGTTTTGGGCATTTGTGTCCCCTCCTTTTAAAGGAGTTCCTTTGTTCTTGATCTCTAGGAATTGGGCTGCTGTTTGCCATCCCTAATGCTAGGAGTTTTGTGCTTTTGTTTTGCTCTATCTCCTTTGTATGAGGACTTCTTGTCCTCTTTCATTTTTCTTATTTTTAATAAAATTTTTAGTTGATGCTCAAAAAAAAAAAAAAAATGTAATAATTAGGAGCAAACCCCATAAGACAACAATGCTTGATTCGTTTAGTTAGATTCCTGGAGGATTGTTATGTTAGCATATTATATTAGCTGAAAGTGTTAGCATATTATATTAGCAGAAAGTTACACTAGGGTCTATAATCATTTTGTGTCCTCAGGGATCATCTTGTAATTGTCTTTCTTGTAAACCCTAATCTTCATATTTAAGATATCCTATCATACCCTAAGCTGGTTACCCAAGCTTCATGGTATCAGTGCTACACCTCTAGGGTTAGGGTTCAAAACGTACCTAGTTGGATCATCTGCTGGGTCGATCTTCAGTTACCGTCGTCACTCCGCGTCGTCTTCATTATCCGTTGGATCATTTGCTTCGTCTTCGTGTTCGTCTCAGCTCTTCAGCTCGTCGATCTCCTCCAGCCGTTCGTCGCTCATCTTCATCGCTCTCGTCGTCCTCAGCTCGTCGCTCGTCTTCGTCACTCGTCGTCCTCAGCTCCTTTGTCGCCTTCATCAATCGTCGATCTCTGATATACTCTCACTCTCGTCCACTGTTTGGTATGATATAGCCTCTCTTTTGTATCACACCC